CAGGTGCCTGTTCTCCCCCCCACCAATTTTCCAGCTTGTTCCTTAGTGGGCTCTTTATACTTGAAAACTCAGAGTCATTCTTCAATATAGAGAAATGTTGTTTATTTTCTCCTGCTGCCTTCCTTCTGTAACTCTATAAGATGGGAACTGGATCACATGTAATGATTCTCAAAGTACAATTTTTCTCATGTACTTTCTTTTTTGGTCTTCTCACTTTATGGTCTGCATATTTCCTTTCCTTTATTTTCATAAAGATTGGCTTTAAGCCTATATATTATTTAAGCCTCCAACTGCATTTTTATTTCAGCAATCAAGTCTTCAATATAGAACTAATTCTTTAATTATTCCTCTTTCTCCACAGCAGCTGTTTTATCTATGGATCCAATTTACTCTTGACTTTAAGGAAACTTCCTATTATTGGAACTTCCTAAAGCTCTAATCTGCTTCTTTATTACCTCTGTTTCTTCCATGGTCAGCTGTTTTATTCATTCATCTTAGTCTTTTAAGTCTAGTTTCCCTCAAATGTCCAGTGGGCTTTGATCACCTATTCATATTAATAAATAAAGGACTCCATTGATTGGCAATTGTAAGAGATATGAATTTCCTCAACAGCTGTGTTACTCCGTCTCCAAACCTCCCAACGGGAGATCTGTCGGATTGCGGGTCCCTGCAGGTAAGCGGTACGCCTGTGACAGGCTTCTCTTTACAAGTGGAGCAAAAGTGGTTTTCCTCACTACTGCCAACATGACGAGGGCTGCAGTTTAGATGGCACGGTCCTTTAATGGTATGGTCCTAATCCTTGATGGAGCTCCATTTCTTTTCCCTCCCCCACTTGTCCCCCGCCTCACCCTGCACTATTGTGGAGGTCCATTACCTAAAGCCCTGGTTTGTGCTTGTACCAGCTCTCCAGCCCCAATTCATGACAGCACTGCTTGTCAACCCTCCCCAAAGCACATCCCGAACTTTGCTTCAAGAGCTGTCCTCTAACTTTGTCCTGAGTACTAATGCCATTGCCAGAGCTCTTTATATGAAGAGGGAGAGGGAGTAGGGAAATAACTGTTTTAGAGGCAGTCTCTTAATTATTTGCTCTGATGCTTTTCTTCCCCGAACCTTCTCCTTTCTTCTACATTTGCTGACTTCAAGCTTAGAGTTTCAGAAAAGGGGCCCCACTAAGAAATTCTCCTGACTTTCTAGCATGCAGCAGGAGCACCTATTTGAGCTTGCATTTTATTCTGTTCTCGTTTTTCAATCATTACAATTCCAACTGCTTTCTATTACCCTGAAATTCTACCAATTTTCTGGTATAATAGCAATAATAAGAATGATAGCAGCTAACATGAATTGGCTAAATGTAAAACATTGACTAAATGGAAAAACTCTTGTAAAAAAACCCAAAAAACCTCTTCTAAGTGCTTTGCTCATATTATCTCTCTTGAGCCTCACAACAACCCTAGGAAGTAGATACTATTATATCATCATCCTAATTTTACAGATGAGGAAATTGAGGACAAAAAAAAAATATGTAACTTGCCCAAAGTCTCACAGTTGGTAAATGGCAGAGCCTGGATTCAGACCTACGTAATCTGGCTTCAAAGCCTCCCTTTTCCATTTTTTCAATACAATTATGATTTATTCTTTTTCATATGTCTGTTTTGTCATTTTCAGTGATATCTGAGAAGAATGGAAAAGTAAATGGGTGCGTTAGGTCCATCAGCAGAAACTCATTGTTTTCACTATACCAGTATTGTTTTCATACCACACAATTTTAATTGGTAGTAATATCTTTTAGAGAAGATACAGGATTGAGTAAAATAATCTAGTGGCAGAAAACAAACCCTATGCAACTGTGTTCAATCAGTATCAACAGAGGTAATGTAGAGGATTCCCAAAATGAGTCTCAAAAGGGGAAATCAGAAGTATAGGTAAGTATTTTTTAAATCTAAGTAAACACTAAACAACAGCATTTTGATGTTCTCAGCAACTCATTAGTTTGCTGTCATCACCACCAGAGAGAAGTTGAGAACGTACTAAATTTTAAGTCCCATCCTATTCCCGGACAGTGGCCTTATAAATAATTCAATTCCACTCAAAGGCACTGTCCCCCTGCCCCTGCCCTTACAGAGCTTACAGTCTACGGCCGGCATAAAAAAGTAAACGAACAACTGTAATTCAGTGTGATAAGTGCTATGATACAGGCGGGTACAGAGGGTGCATGAGAACAAAGAAAATGCCTTCAAAGGAGGTTTTCCAGGAAACAACTCTTGGAGTAACTGTTCAAAGATACACTATTATTGGTTTCAGGAGATAAAACTGAATCTGTCATCTTTCCCCTCAGCCTGTTCCTCCATTTATGTAACGCTTGGTAATGAGCACAATGGTCCACCAGAAAGCTGGAAGCTTTCTTAACTGTTCCCTCCCCCTCTTCAATTAATTAAATCTCATCTCATTCCACTACGTTAGGCTACAAATCAATTCCCTAGTCCCTATTCCTACTACAACTGCCTTATTTGTAGCTGCCATCATTTCTTACCTTGATAACCGTAAAAACCTTGTAACTGGACTTTCAATTAAATCTATTCACTAATTAAAAAAAAAACAAGCAGGTCCTCAAAACTGCCCTTGGGTGATGCCCCACTTGATTTGGGGCCTCTCCAGCTTCTCTCCATATTCTCTTCCACTAAGCTGAACTTCCTACAGTTCTCTGAAAGACCATGCTGTTTTGCCGATTGCCGTTACTCCAGCTGGTTGTTCCCATGGTTTCAAGGCCTTCCTACCGTCCCTTCCTAACACCCACTCAGTCTTTAAGTACATCTCTTCTGAGAAAGTCGCCCTAATGACCACTCCTCTCTCCCTCCTCCCCTGAGCTGAGCCAGGTACCTCTTCTGTATGATCCCATACCATATTACCTCATCAGGACACTTATCACAAAGAATTACACTAAAATTATTCTACATCTGTTTCTTTACCTAGTTCTCTATTATCTAGATCACTGAGCTAGCACAGTGCCTGTTACTTAACAGGCAATCAAGAAATACTGAAAGAATGAAGAATGAACAAACGAAGGAACGAACGAAGGAACGAAGATAGTTAAGTCTGTGAAAGCTGATGAGATAACCAAAGGAGATAATGGAGGACAGAACACTGAAGCAATAACCACCTTTCGTGGGCAGGAAGAAAGAAGCTAGTGAAGGAAACAGAATGAACAATCAAAGAAGTAGGAAGAAAACATCCAGGATTGTACAGTAAAGTAACCCAAAGGAAGAGAAAACTCTAAGAAGGTGCAGGTGGTCAACAGCATCAAACACTCCGAGCAGGTCAAAGTAGGTGTGAACTAAGACAAGGCCACTGAAGTCGAGGCCGTCCCTGGGGACCTGGATGTTGCGAACCCTGAGCCTATTCCCACCTCACTCTTCCCAGCACCTCAGAGGCCGTCCTCCTCAGCCACTGTTTGAGGCAATTTAGGGCTTACAAAATAATCAAAGGTGGAAAACTTACCTGTGCTAATCTCTTTTTCCGTGATTAAAAAATTGAAAAACAGAGAATACACAAAAGAAAATAAAATATCCTGCCTTCCAGGTATAACATTATTTCACTACTTTGTTTTTTATGTTTGTGTTTGTACAAAATTGATATTACATTAAACTGTATATCCTAATTAAACAATTTCTTGATTATACTTAAATTTAGTCAAAGTTAGTTTTCTTATTGTAAATCAATAAATTAACATTCTAATTTATAAATCAAAAAAAAGGAAAAGAAGTTATAGAACTAAATGTGCCTGCTTGGCCACATGTGTGCACAATGGTCCTTCTGTCACGTAACACTAAAATTACATCTTAACTTATACCAACAAAATAATTTATTGACACTAAAAGGTAGCACACCATCCTAAGTATCTTATCTTCTTCACCCATTTAAGATAGATTTTATTATTTTCATGTTCTGGAGTTTGGCTGCTAAAAATAAGTTACGTACTAGATATGGAAACGTCTATAACAGCAGCAAGGTTTTTTCCTTGGTTTGTTTTATTTTTTTAAATAACCTCTTCAATCAAAATCATTTAGTAAAGTCTATATTACAACATTAAGGATGCTTGCCTGACAATCTGTAAATCTAGAAATAGTGTGAACCAGAGTTTTCAATTCTCTTCTGAGATTTTCTTTTTTCATTATGGAGCATAAAGCAACATTTCTAAAAGTAAGAATTACAAGGTCAAAGGATGTGAATATTTTTAAGCCTTTTGATACACAATAACAAATTTAATCCAAAAAGACTGTGTTAAATTTACACCTCCTTTAACACACAAGCTTCACTTTCCCATAACCTTGCCACAATGGGTATTCTTATTTTTAATCGTTGTGAATCTAACAGGTGAAAATGGTATCTATTATTTTAATTATGTTTATAACAATAGGGAAAATAAATATTTGTTCAGATTTATTGAACTTTCTTTTTTATAAATTGATATATATTCTCTTACCTATTCATATTGTTTCACCTATTTTTCTAGTGGGCATTTGCTTTTAAACTATTAATTTATAAGAGCTTTTTATATATTCATAATATTAAGCATTTGTTACAAATACCCCCCTTTATATCTTTTTATTTATGATTTTTTACATAAAAGGATTTTAATTTTAGTCATATAAATTAATCTTTTTTTCCTTAGAATCATAGTTAGAAAACTCCCACACCCATATTTGATAAATTATTCAAAGTTCTTTTTAATATGGTTACAGTGGAATAATACTGATATCAGGGAGTGATTTATTTCTACTATCTAATGCATATTAAGTGATTCCAACTCCCTAAAGCTTGTCATTACAATTCCAGCAGTAGTCAATATGAAACACGGGCTTAAAATTAAGTTCTAGACTTTTCTTACTCCAATTTTAGCTGTTTAGACAATTTTTAAAAACCAGAGTTTCGAGTTTAGAAAATTCATTCAAAGTTCCCTTTAACCCAAATGAAGCACAGATCTCTTGCTAGTTATCACCCACCTCTCAAAAACCTGTTAGGGATCCTTATGATGGGACAGGACTGAATGAAGCGCCTCCTAACTGGGTCCCATCGTATTTTCTTCTTACCTGTTACCACAATTATCAGCAATAAGTCAGACACATACAACACATAGCAAATAATACATAGTTACTGTAGTTATAAAGACAGAAAAACAGGAAACAAAACAATACTTGAATACAGAAAGAAGTGATGTAAAGTAGCATTTAACCCTGTTTTAGAAGTCAATACAAAATTAATATATAAGCAGTGATGAAAGTTTTCAGCTCATCCCCAAAAGAATATAAACAATTATGTGCATCATTTTTCGGAATTCTCGGTTAATTCAACATGCATTCAATAATCACCAATGCCATCTTGTGGCAAAAATTCACCACGAGCTTTACAAACAGATTAGAAACTAAAACATTTTTAAAGTCAGTGAATGTTTAAAAAAAAAAAAAGGAGCTAGGAGCTCTGATTAAAATTAATTCAGCATAATATAGTTTCCTGTTCTCTTTCAGGTTCAGAATCCTTTTGTAAGTTACATGGTTAAGAGGATAACATATGGGCACCATTCTTTAAATATGAAATAATCTCTTGGTACTTCCATTGGCCAGGAGTAGAGGGGTTCATCTGCCTTCCCAGGGAGCATGTTAGCTCCACATTAACCCAATTAAAACTTGTTTTCTTTTAAAATAGAAGAAAAATGCGAGACATTATAGAACTGTGAAGTGGGTAATTTTGTTTCTTCCCAAAGTTTTGATAGCTCCCAAAGATAGCTCTTGCTAGCAATAAAAACAATTAACATTTGTATAGAGTTTAAAGTTTACAAAGAGCTTTCACACATTACCTCATTTCATCCTAGCATCAATCATGCATAGATTCAACAACCATTTCATTAGCACCTGCTATGCCTTGAGCCCTAGGCTGGGCTCTAGATAGAGTAGGGAAAGAAAGCTATGACTCCTTATGAGGAAGGCAGATGTCTCAACAAACAATTTCATTACAGTGAAGTAACTGCTATAATGGGCTATAAAAAGTCTTTGAGGAAGATTTATCTTACGTAAAATAAGTAAGAGAGCTAAAGGAAAACAGGTGACAATGCCAGAGTCAGGCTTCAAGCCCAGGCCGTCTGACTCTAAAACCTGCCTTCTTTCCACGATATCACACTTAACGTGTCTCCAATTTCTTAGAAAACGCATAGTTTTTGGTTTTGGCAACTGAAAATATATGTCAACGTTCATCAGCAAAGTCTGGGTTTGTTTGCTGTAATACTTGTACACTGTGTAATTAAAAATGGCATTACTTGTGCATATGTACTTAACATTGTGAAGACGACAGACTTGCGGGCAAAGGGAAGAATGATTTATTCTGCAAAAGGATTTATCTTTTAATCCGTTAAATCTTTTAAATCAGTAGTTCCCAGGCCCTGGCTGGGTAGCTCAGTTGATTAGGGCAGCATCCTGACATGCCAAAATTGCCGGTTCAATCTCCAGTCAGGGCACATTCAAGAAGCAACCAATGAACGCATGAATAAGTGGAACAACAAATCGGTATTTCTTTCTCTCGCTCTCTGTCTCCCTTCTTCTCTCTCTCCAAAAATCAATAAATAATTTTTTTTTAATTTTAAGTCATAGTTCCCAAATGTTGGTCTACAGACCACAAATTGGTTAAGTGAAGATTCACCAGTCCAATACCAAATGAGAAAACTATGGATAAGGCAGTGAGGTGTTTTGGGTTTTTTTTAAGCTTAAATGTTCCATTTAAAAGCCTGCCCTTTTTTTCAGCGATTAGAAACTTTTTGTTACTAAACATTCTTTATTTTATAAGATGAAGGTTTAGGAAATGGTAGGTGGTTTCATTTTTTATATTCTTTCTTAGAAAAACAGAAAATTTGTAAGCCTATGTGTATCCCCAAAATACATATATTTTTTCAATTTACAGGTTTATATAAGACATTCAAAAGCCTGTAAAACCACAGCTTTAAATCAATGCAGTATTTGTTGATTACTCGTAAGTCCAACATTGTAAACCACACACTGTCAAAGGATACATAAGATGTAAGAAACTTCCCTTGCCCTTAAGAAGCTTATATTCTAATTAGGAAGACAAGACAGACACATAAAACAATTATATAGCAATACAAGACAGAATATAACAAGTAATTAGCTTAAAATTTGACATTATGTACCAGAAGCATTAAGGTGTACATACCCTTTTACCCAGCTATTCCACTTCTAGGAACTTATTCCTAAAGAAGCAATCATAGATGCATGGGAAAATGTAGGGACAAAGATACTCATTATGGTATTATTTATGATGGTAAAAAATCAGACATACTTTCAATGTCCAATGACAGGGAGATGGTTAAGTATGCTAAATAAACATACTTAACTTATATGTTCATATTCTATGTAACACTAAAAAGCATATACAAGAATATTTAGTAACATATGAAAACATTCACAATATACTGCAAAATAAATATGCCAGGTACAAAATAGTACTAGATTATGACAGCATATTAAAAAAGAAAAAAGTGTACATTTTCATGAAAAATACAGAAAGGATATACATCAAATTTTAATTGTGGTTATATTTGGGTGGTTATTATAAGTGATTTTTTTTCATTAGTGCTGGTCTTTATTTTCAAAATTTTCTCATTGAGTAGGGATTACTTTTGGACCGGAAGAAAAATAATACCATATTACTTTAGTGTTGTTTTAAAGCTATGATTTAAAAAATACTATAAGAAATATACCAAAATGTTAACAGTGACTATGACTGAGGTTGACGGTTATCACTTCTTTTATATTATCCAAAAATTCTATAATATACTATTGTATATTATGTTGGAAAAATACAAAACAAATTTAGAGTAACACTGAGGAAATAACATTGAAAATTACTTAACAAACTTATAATCAAAAATCTTTTCTAATGTCTTCTCAGGGCTCTGTCAAACATCGTTGGCCTGTTTCTCCCTCAGCACCCAACATAAGTCTGTCATAGGCATGGGCTAATGTTGACACTCTGGAGCTTATGAATACACCATAGACACTGACTTCAGAACCCATTTTTTTTTTCTTTTCTCAAAGAGCAGAATTTTTTTTTTTTTCTGCTCTTAGAGAGAAGAAAAAAAGAGAAACCAGCAACATAATAATATATGCCTTTCCCACATCATGTAAATATATCCCTGGTCTCAAGTTTTGTTTATTGAAGCTTTAATTTTTATGCATTTAAATTGCCAATCTTCATTTATGATTGTATCTATTCTTCAAAAGAAAAAACATAATTTCTTCAATCACTTAATCAATATTTCATTTTTTGCTAGATTTTTACATTTTTTCTCCTTTTTATTAAATTTATTTCATTATAAATGATATAATCGTTGACCGAATCAAGACGGTTGGCTGAGCACATTGCGAGCAAGCTCCCATTCCCCCAAAGTCCTGCAAATAACAAAAATGCCATTTTTTAAAAATCTGTAATAAAAAAACAATGCCCTTAGGACTAAAACTATGAGGAACCACTGAAAGATGAAAAGCTGATAGAATCAGTTTAAAAGAGGAAACCACAATCCTACATGCCCATAGCAGAGGGTTATTGCAAATGGTCAGAGCAGCCTTCAGAACAAACTAAGCCCAGAGGTAGAAAACAGCAGGAAGATCGAAAACAATTTATAGAATTCACAGCATAACTGATTGGAGGGTAGCAAGAAGCTACAAAGCACGTCCATCTCTCCAACCCTTTTACCTCTTTGGGCCAAGCATTACAGAGTAAGGTATAAAGGTGTCACTCCGCCAGGAAAAACAGTGAGTTATAAAGTCTTGGATGAGAGAGATAGGGCAGAGCCCTGGGTCGATATAAACTTCCAGGCAGAAGTGGGGACACTCACACTGAAGAAGGCTGGTAACTGGCACACTCCATCTCACTGCACACCATCGCTACCCACAAATCAATGGAGACCTACTGCGATACACCATGTCACATTCATTGGAAGCCTGACCAGGACTCTCAAAGATGAGTAAGCACAAAACCGAGACTTGAGCATGAAAAAGAGGCATTTGTGTGACGAACAGAAGAACTCAACCAAAGAGAGAGAGTTAATAAATTAACCAGAGTAAGACCTTAGATTAAATACAATTAATATCTTCAGATATAGGCAAGATAACATTTACTTTCAAAGAAACCTTTTAATTGGAACTCTTGGATATTAAGTTTTGATCACTGAACTGAAAACTTAAGGACTGAAAAAATATAAAGAACAAACTAAATAAGTAATCTGAAAAATGTCACCAAGAAATTCACAAGAATATAGTACAGAAAGAAAAAGTGAAAGTCATTCTTAAAAGATATAAAAGAGAACTGAGCAAGCCCTATCAAAATTCCAACTGCCTTTCTTGCACAAATGCTAATCCTAAACTTCATATGGAAATGCAAAGAACCCAGAAAACCAAAACAATCTTGAAAAAGAACTAAACTGGAAGACTCACACTTCCTGACTTCAAAACTTACTATAAAGATACATTACGCAAAACAATGTGGTACTGGCATAATAATGATCATATATATCAATGGAACAGAATTGAGAGTCCGCAAATAAACCCCGATGTCTATGGTTAATTGACTTTTGACAAGGGTGACAGGACTATTCAATGATGAAAGGATAGCCTTTTCAACAGATGGTCCTGAGACAAGTGGCTATACTTTTCTATATCTACTATATCTTTTGTATATCTAGAATTCTCTATCTACTCAAACTCTCATTCAAGTGTAAGAGCAAAATTAAGAGATGTTTTAATGTACAAGGACACAAAAATTTTGCTTCCTTCAGACTTACGGTGAAAGAATTGCGCAAAGATACATATCTAGAATTAAAAAAATTAATCCAAGAATAATAACCAAGGTACAAGAAAAATGTATAGCAGAGAAACCAGTAAAACCTTTAAGTGCCAATCTGAAATAAAAAGCAAAACACAGCCCTGGTTGGTGTGGCTCAGTGGATTGAGTGCCGGCCTGCAAACCAAAGGGTCACTGGTTCAATTCCCAGTTAGGGTACATGTCTGGGCAGATTGCAAGCCAC